TGTTCTACACTTTTAAAAAAGAAAAATATCATAAGGTTCCCACATAAAATTAATGATGAGCTCTTGAACGAAGTTACTGAAATGCGAGATCTTGGGGTTACTTTTGATACGCACTCGACTTTTAGGACACACTTGTCCAATATCGTAAATAAAGCAACGCAGATGTATGGTTTTGTTGTCCGGAGCTGTAAGCTGTTTCGCAATTGCACACAGTGTATCAGAATATTATATGTATCCTATGTAAGGAGCATTTTAGAGTATTGTTCAGTTATATGGAACCCATACTATAGTAATCATAAATACAAAATAGAGAAAATTCAGAATAAATTTCTAAGATATATTAACTATAAGAAAACGGGGATATATGAGTTACATATAGCTAGAGGTCATGGATTCTCTCAACATTGGATCTTTGGATATGCGTAGAAAAGCTGCTGCTTTGATGTTTTTGTATAGACTACTGCATGGGTTGGTTTGCGATCCAGGTTTGTTAAGTCAACTAAATTTTTGTGTACGATCCTATAGGACAAGAGACTTACTAACATTTTATATAAACAATGTAAGAACAAATTACCATTACAATTCTCCCATTATAGCGATGTGCAGGCTGTATAATGAAGTAAAAAACGAGTGTGATATTTTTGTGTTGGATTATGGAAAATTTAAGAAAACAATTTACCTTATATACTTAATTAGAGGGTTAATGAATGAAAATTGCATGGTTCAGTTTAGTTTAGTTTTTTCCTACTCTATAAGTGGATGTAATGTGTTGAGTTCGTAAATAAATAAATAAATAAACAGCCCCATCATCATTAGAAATTAAATATCACTCTGCAAGTGTAACACTACAACTTCGAGACATTCAAAGTAAAACCAATAGCACCAAAGGTGGGAAAAGAAAAATTACTGATGACAACCGAGCTTTGCAACAACTGTTCAATGAAATGGAAAATGGTTTAAATCGCGGAAAAGGCTACATAACAACAATTTGTAAAAGATACAAAGAAATAGGACATACTGATGTCAGTGACAGAGTCCTGGTGATATAAAAGCTATCTCTAAATATTTTGGCGAAGCTGTCGAACTTGTCAATGCTTCCAGACCTAATCAGCCTAGAATATTTATGAAAAATGTAGGAAAGAAGCAATACGTTAAAACCATTGTCGACAAAACTGAGTCGATGGAATCGAAATTATTTTGTGGTGAATCAGAGCTTCAATTTCTTCATAGAAGTGGTAGTGCCAAGAAAACTAACTGCCAGTAGAGAACAACTGCAGATAACATCGACATATTGGAAGAAACTTTGGATAAGGCACCTACGTTCCATGAAACACAAACGACCGCTTTTCAAAGAGGTCCAATTAATAAATGTATAGCTGAAAATTTTGGATTTTTGCCCTGTAATGTGCAGAATGACTGATTTCGAGACCGTAAATAGGATAGTCCCCCAGTGGACGAGATTTCATAAGTTACTTTTTGAAAATAATTCATGCACCACCTCATACGGATATTTGCTGCTGTTACCTCATGTTGCTTCAGATTATAGCACAGTATGGACCGTGATCAAAAGTACTGAAATTGCTACAAAATTAAACAATAATTATACTGGCATTACTTTCGATCAGGTCATTCACTATAAGGCCAAGGAATTGCAGTAGAATAACCCTGAACTTAGAAAACATTTAATTGTACTTTCAGGTAGTTTCCATATTTCTATGAATTTTTTAAAAGTGATTAGGCAGTATATGGCAAACTCAGGCCTTTCTGATGCATGGTTAGAAAATGGTCTCTATGAACGGTCCACAATCGAAGGAATTCTAGGAGGAAAGAAGTATAATAAAGCGATTCGAACCCATCAATTAATATATGATAGTCTCATGAGGTTATTAGTGCCTGCTTTTCATAATTGGCTGATGGAATGTAATTATATCTATCTACACATTCTTTAAAAATTCATTTTTATTTTTCTGAACTTCGAAATCATTTAGAAAATAAAGAAAGCGCATAGGATACTTTTTTAAAGATTTCCAATTTAGTGAGAGAATTATTCGAAGAGATCCCAGACTTTATAGCATCACAAACAGCAACTTTCAGATATTGGTATTCATGCATAGAATTAGTGGAAACTTTGTTAGAATTTATATTCGCTGAAAGAACTGGTAGCTGGGAGTTACATCTAAATAGTTTTCGAAAAATGCTATCGTGGATCACACAAATTACTCAAGATGGGGCACAACCTAATTGTTGGACACGTACGATTTTTTGAATACGGCACCCGAAATCTATAAAGAATTTTATATCCTACTGAACTATTAAAACCATATAATACCTTGGCTACGATAATCATAAACAGGGTCTTAACTCCCAAGGGAGTTAAGGATTTTCATAACTCCCAAGGGAGTTAAGGAAGGGAGTTAAGGATATCATAACTCCCAAGGGAGTTAAGGATTTCCATAACTCCCGCTTTTACCTTGAATAGGTAACACTTTGACAAAAAATAGAAATTTTGATTTATGGCTTATTCCTTTATAAAAATAGACAGAATACAGTAAATTCAGTAGGATATAAAATTATCTATGTACCACGGGAATTATCAGGAGTTAATATCCACGGGCAATTGGTGTCCCTCGGGCTGGAGGCCCTCGGGACACAAACGTTGCCCTGGGGTATTAACACCTGCATAATTCCCTTGATACATAAATAACTATTATATCCTACTGAACTATTAAAACCATATAATACCTTGGTTACGATAATCATAAACAGGGTCTTAACTCCCAAGGGAGTTAAGGATTTTCATAACTCCCAAGGGAGTTAAGGAAGGGAGTTAAGGATATCATAACTCCCAAGGGAGTTAAGGATTTCCATAACTCCCGCTTTTACCTTGAATAGGTAACACTTTGACAAAAAATAGAAATTTTGATTTATGGCTTATTCCTTTATAAAAATAGACAGAATACAGTAAATTCAGTAGGATATAAAATTATCTATGTACCACGGGAATTATCAGGAGTTAATACCCACGGGCAATTGGTGTCCCTCGGGCCGGAAACGTTGCCCTGGGGTATTAACACCTGCATAATTCCCTTGATACATAAATAACTATATTGACGGTAATTTCGTTGTAAAGCGCTTAGAGGGAAATTTTAATCAACTTTCAGTTGATCAAGCCTTGGAACACATCAATAAAAATTCTAAAGATGCGGGAGGAATAGTTGTGTTAGCCAAGATGAGCACTAAACTTGATGAATGGTTTTTAAGCTACAATGTAAGTGGTATGGTATGATATTGGATGAATTCCGTTCATCCTTAAATATATCTGGGGTTTCTCATAGTCAAAACATTGAATGTGGGTCGAAACGAATGAACGTAGACGAAGATTCGGTGCACAAATTACAAATTGAATTTACAAACTTTAAAGTATTTTTGAAGAACGAGGATCCACTAGTCGTCATTTCTACCAATGAAATATAGCTTCTCTGAAAGTTCAAAGTATCCAAATATAGGTAATTTATGATTTCTGATTTAAGATTTCTGATTTCATCCTTTTTTTTGTATGCGTAATAATTAAATATGTAATTGTATACCTACCATGAGAGAGAGAATAACTATACTTATTATAAACTGTTAAATGCAATATTGCATTTTTAAACGAACGAAATGTATTGAAATGTACCTAACCAAGCGAAAATCGCCTCTACGAGCGCGCTGAAGAATAAGGTCGAAAATCGCTCGAACGGTGTGACAATTATGAACCCTCACCGCATGACTACCGCCGACGTTGGTAAATCGAGCATCAAAGCACAAAAAAAATCATAGTGACGAAACTATTCATTTTTTGAAGATTTCACAAAATATGCGGTTTCAGGGCGAGCGTTTATGTATCAAGGTGCTCCGCTCCATAAGAGTGCATTGAAGTGACGTCATTTAACAACTACTAAAAAAATATTTGGACACGAAATACGAGTAAAATATTATACCGAAATAGAGCTGGAGTGCTGGAAATTTCAAAAATGTAAAAAAAATAAGTATCTTTTTTCATAAATTCCGCCTGTACGGTACGAATTCTTTTTCGATGGGGAATCTTTTAAGAATGGTTGTTGCTTTTAACAATAAAGTGCAAACAGGTTAACACTATCGAGCAGGCTTTTTACTCCACTATTAACCATCTCATGACATTTCAGATTTCTCACCATGAAATATTTATTTACAAAATAGCGAGCAAAATAGGTACCAGAAAGTGCTCAATATGGAATAACATTTTTAAACGTGGCGATATAAAATTTTTCAACATAAAATAATAATTTATGAAATCAGCGCAAAAAATAATAGGTACTGTATCAAGAATGGATAGTACTTTCATAGTAAGTGATCAAGAAAAATCTTCCAACAACTTTTGTTGTTTTATGTCTTAATTTTCAACTCAGTAGAGTAGCTCAAGTAGTTGTGATTTTACAAAGGCCAACATTATATTTTGATTCAAAAAATCAACATAGCTTGGATGTCTACCAAAATATTTATTTCAAAATAAAAGAAATACTCTTCCTCCTTTACTTTTTCTTTATTTTCGAGGATAACAGCTTTTTCATTGAAGGTAATTTTGGCTCTAAAAGTTCTCTTCTTATCGTAGTGATGATGCACATTGCCCACTGTCAAAATGGTGTATGTACAGTGGAAATCATTGCAATTGGCACATACCACATACCATACATATAAAACACTTTCTGATACCTTTATTTCTAAAAAAACACACCTAATGTTAAAAAATAAATAAAACTTTGCACAAGCCATTCAACAATGAGTGAATATACAATAAACTAGGTAAAATAATATGGGAAAACAAAGACAAACACAAAAAGAAGCGCAAAAAAAATGTATCAAGAATAAAACAAGAAAGCACCAAATTGTAATTTTTTTAGTGGAGCTAAATCGTGAAAATCGCAAGTGAATAAAAACACTAAAAATTTCAAATGGTAATAGAAAAATCATGCATTACTTACCACAAAGCGATTTGGCTTCACTCTTGCCGATTTAGCCGTCTCGGTGCTACTACCTCTCATTTGCTCAAATCTTGCCCTTAACCTAAGAAGAAAAATTAACAATAATAAAAAAGTAATCTATCAAAAACTATTATTATTCTTACACTCTAGTAGATTCAATCTGCGATTGTTCTTCGCCATACTCTTCAGTGATATTAATTGAGTTTTGTTCCTTTTTAATTTCGTTTGCTTCCCATTTCTCAAATTTGGCTCTCAACTGTTTAGCTCTAGCTGCTTTTTGCGCTTCAATAAGATCTTGTGGCAATTTTCCGCTGTTATCTACTTCCTCTGTTTCTTCCTCCTCTTCTTCGTATTCTGAAGATTCCTCTTCTTCGCTCTGGGTTTCTGGTTTCGAAGGTTCTGGAGGTGGTGTGAAACATTTGAGTGGTTTGGGACCTAAAATGACAAAATGAGACAACATTTGATAAAAATATTAATAAGATTTTACCTTGAATTTCTGGTTCCCTGGTAAGATTCTCTTCCATTTGCCTGAATTTATTTAACATTTTTGAGGCTGTATGCGACTCTTGGGCGACTTTTGAGTCGTCCACGAATTCTTCATCTGCTCTGATAACATCAGGGTCTCGGTAAATTTCACGATCTGGAGTCTCGGTCTGGGGAAAAAAAATTACAATTAGTTTATACGAATGATTGAATGTTTAATTAATAATAAACATGGGATTATTTTGTGTCCTAATTGCCATTCAGGGGTTAATGCTTGAAGAAAAGTTACTTAAATGGAAGATGTCAAACACTAAGGTTATTATGCTGTGTTAAATATTGCCAATTTTAGTTAAAATTCACACAACAATCCTCGAACCTTAACTTGAGAAGGATCTCTGGGAGGAGTTATCCTAAACTGCTTCTTGTGCTTCTCGGGTTCTTTGTAAGTTTCAAAAAATTTAAATCTTTCTTGTATATCTGCCGTTTTTACTTCTACTTCTTCAACAGTTTCAGTTGATTTTACTGTATCCTCTTTTGAAGCCTTTTCTAAATAAGCCTGGGCAATTTTTCGGTTATGAATTAATAATATGGAGGTGTGATAAATTATTGACCTACCTCTCTAGCTTTTTTAACTTCCAATTTCGGTGGAGTTACAGGAGAAAGTTGGGGAGCTTTCGATGCACTAGCGTCTAACTCTAGGAACAAAGATCTTGATTTCTTGCTTATTTCTGCAAAAATAACAATTATTGTACAATCAATGTTTTCAAGTTTGACAAATCCTTACCGCTTTCGTAAACTTCTTCTTCTTCGTTTCTGTTTTCCTTGTCAGTTTTCTCGTTGACATTTTCTCCCTTCTCGAATCGTTCTTTAATAGATTTAGTATCACAGGCTTCGATTTTTTCCGAAATATTCTTTCTAAGGTTTGAGCTTGATTCGCTTTCCATTACCGCTTGCTGGTAAGCTTCCTTCATTTTTTCTTGCTTTCCCTAAAAAAAAAAAAATATCCATTGGTAATGTGATTTGACTATACTATTGATTGATCTACTTATTTTGCATTGGTTTAAATCAAATCAATTAATGCTTTATTTTTCAGTTGTCTGAAGATTTACAAAGGTAATCAATAAGCACGACATACGAATTTTAGGACTATCTCTGTTTTCTATAACAATATGTACAACATTAGCTATCTTTAAGCAATCTGGTAATGACGCGGAGAAAAAAAACTGCTTCTTAGAGACTTATTCAATACCTACATCCGTATAACAGAAACTAATTCAAACTACAGAAAAACAAATTTGTTGGAATCGTTGACGTATACTCGACTGAAACACTTCTGAAATCGAAACAGCTTTTCATTTGTCTTCTTTCGATCCTTCACATACCCCATACACACATTGTTTTTCACTGTAAGGGTTTCAATGTTAGTCATTAAACTGTACTTGGGCGCTCTAAATTCATCAATTTCTTCTTCCAAAGCCAGTGCCTACAATTTCTGGCATCTATCCATCAACTATGGTCTGGCTCTCTGATTGGAACAACGATATATCTGGTAATTTTAGTTATGACTTCAAGTGCAAGACCAAGGAAATTACATGTATTAAGAACGTTTTCAGCTGATATGATCTTTCACAATCCTTCTTTGAAGTGTCAAGGATCCAGGGGTTGTCTTGCACTGTACCAGATAATGTTTTTTCCAACGCTAATATAACCTTGACAAGGACATTAGATCTGACTTTTTCAGATCACAGAGCACAAGTCCAGCATTTTAATTCGGGCAAAAGTGAGTGTAATAACCTAAAGCGCAAATCTCGATGCTTCTGGCAAGAAAACATTACCTTTGTCAATTATTTATTATGGGAAGAAAAATGGCTTATAGACCTTCATCCACTTGAACTGGAAGACAACTTTACTTACTTTTTCAACTTTCAATGAACCATTTAACATAGCATTTCCCCTTAGAAGCAAGAGAACCAATCACAATAGGAAAAAACAAAATTCCTGGATAACCTCATAGTTAATAAAGAAGGGTTCAGATCTGAGAAAACTTCATGTAGAAGTAAAAAGATCAGGCAGCCATAGGCTTCAAATGCTATACAGGAATGAACTTAGAGCACATAAAAGGAATATTGCTGTGGCAAAAAAGGTCTATAACTCTAACAGGATATTAACATCGGACAACATCACTAGGACGGCTTGGGAGATCATCAATTCTCATACAAATAACCCAAAGAATATTAAGCAGCCCCTACCTGAAAAAATTATGGTAAGCGATACTGCAGTTACTGATCTGATAGGCAAAGCAAATGCGTTCAATGAATTTTTATGGAGTCTGTAGAAAAGTTCATCATCAGCACTGAAACAGGCTTGAGTCCGGTCATGAATCTCCAAACAGCAATGAAAATTCCCAAAAGATATTCTTTGCACCCCTGAGTGACTTAGAGGTTCTTAATAAAATTCTGAAATTGGTCAACAGTAAAAAGTCATGTGGTATTGATGAGATACCTTGCAATCTGATTGAAAAGTGTGCCCAAAATATCATGGATCCATTAACATACATCTTTTGAACATGGGTACTTTCCAAAGGCCCTAAAAAGCGCAGTCGTTGTCTCTATCCATAAAAAAGGTGACATATCATTAGTGGAGAACTATAGGCCGATTGCTCTCCTGTCGGTGTTCTCGAAGATTTTCGAAAAGGCATTTCGCGGAAGACTGATGAGTTTTTTGGAAAAGTTCAACATCCTAACACGTCGCTAGTTCGGATTTAGGGTTGGTCGCTCAACGACCGATGCCATCTTGTATTTCTATCAAAAAATATTAGACAACTTCAACAAAAATTTGAAATCAGTGGGTATATTTTACGATTTTACTATGACCTTCGACACTATAAACCACAACAAACTCTTGAATAAAATATCTCACTATGGCATACAAGAATCGGCGTACGACTGGGCTGCGTCTTATCTAAGTGATAGACCTTAATGTGTTAAATTATTAAATTCGACATTCTCAGACTGGCAAATGTTAGGTTTGGTGTACCGCAGGGTAGTGTATTGGGGCCTATCTTGTTCCTATTATTTATAAATGACTTGTCACTGTATGCGAATGACTGTTTTGTTACGCTGTTCGCAGATGACATTTCTACCGTTGTCGAAGATGTAGGGTATGAAGGGCTATGTCGAAGGGCAAATGAGTATGTCCGCAAAGTTTCTGATTGCTGTACTATTTGCACCCATGAGAGATCCCCAAGACAGAAGTCTGCTTATCCGGGATGGATCCAACAGTCTTGTTCAGCAGGACTCTGTTAAATTCCTTGGAATTTTATCTGACCATCATCTGTCTTGGCATGATCAAGCCTCGGATCAAGCTGACACCATTTATAAAATATTGTCAACAAAGAACTTTGCCATATTTCAGCTTAGAGACCATCACAATACTCTAAAGACTTTTTATTACGCTACAATAAACTCTAATCTGTCGTACGGTCTTCTTGTGTGGGGTAATTCCACGGATATTGCCAGGGTCCTGATTTCTCAAAAAAGAATAATCAGGGCAATGTTTTGACTGCCGCTTGTTGCCAAAAGTATCATTACGGTCATAAACCTGTGGATTTTACAGAATGCATGTAGTCTTTAAAAACTGACATAGTTACATCACATGTGGGGACGTGAACAGGTGCCAGACAAGAAACTCAAGCAACATTTACATACCCAGTGCAAGACTGTCCCAGATCCAGGACGGTCCTATGATAACATCTTTAAAAATCTACAACCACCTACCACAGGACCTAAGAAAAGCCGATTTTATGTGAGTTTTTCGGCGAAAACTGAAGACCATATTGGCTGCCAACCCTTTTTATTCATTGCGAGAGTGCTTCTTGTTTGTTTTCTAAAGCAGCAGGAGGTGTTCTTGTAATTTATGTTTTTACTGTCTTGGGGTATATTATTGCGCATATGTTTTCGTATTTTTTGTACTTTGTTCTTTGTTCTTATGTGGATGTATTTTTGCTGGATAGAACTGGCTATGCTATTGATCTTGATGCTGATGTTTAGTGCTATTATTATCTTATATTGATTACTTTTACTTTTACTTTAACACCCTTACTTTTGGATTTTTTATTTGTGACAATTCCAAAACATGAATAATGTCTATGGAAATAAACTATTTGTATTTGTATTTGAAAAGCTAAAGGATATAAGATCCTACGTCTTGCAACTTCTGACAAGGACGAAGACGTCTTTTTTAAAGCGAGTTTAAAGAAACCGAAGACTTTGAAGAAGAAGTCCTTGTTTTCTTACTCAAAGATAAAAGGGATGTGGAACACTAACATTGATCAACAAAATCAAAGTAGCTCCATTAGAAATTGAAAGATCAAGGAAAAAGGTAACACCTAGCGACAAAATTTCCAATGCTACTATAAGAAACAGAAGAGCAGTGACAGATGTAATGGCCAGAATGCTCAAAATAGATTGAGTTGGACCTGACATAAAAGTAAAAAAAGAATGCTCAGATGAAGCTCAAGTTTTTAAGCCTACAAAAATAGAAATATAGGTACCTCTCACAAAATTGGATCAGGCGGCACAAAATAGAAGGAAATGGAAACGAATAAAGAAGGGGTTCCTATTATTGTTGCAATTAACTTCCTAATATTCTTTCATGTGATTATTTTTAGTGAGAACTTTAAGTACCTTTGACAGTTTTAGAATATAGTATATTACATTACGAGTGTAGAAAGTGACAAATTTCATACGAGTGTTTTTTCGCGCGAGGCGGTAACCGAGGGCGAAAATCACACGAGTGTATGAAAGACGCTTTCTCACAAGTGATGTACACTATTTTTCCTACTACCAGAAACCAATTTAAACCAATTTTCTCTTATTTTATTTCTTCCCATTTTCAACAGGGGTGCTGAAAGTACTTTCAATACACGTATTAAAAGTAAATTGTGATGTCAATCACAAATAATGTCAACAGTACCACTACTGGATTTTTGTCCTAGTTGAAAACAAAAAAAAATATCTGTGTTCTGTGGTTGTGGCGGACGTTGGTTCGGATAGTGAGGAAAACTTTCGGGTTTGGACTCGATCAATTTTCAAATTGTTTTCCAGGTCCGTTTTGCAATTATTGTAACTAGTATGAAATATATACTATGTATATAATATATTATATATTTGTTAAAAAAAAAAAAATTATATTGCAAATAAACGTTATTATTATTATTATTATAGTATTTTCCACACGTGTGCTGAAAGTACTTTTAAAACGCGTATTGAAAGTACTTTTAGCACGCGTGTGATATTTAGCGCTTTCCAAAGAACCAGCTAGTGCAGATTTTGTAATTTTCGTATGTGGTCGTAGGAAAAATAAATTACAACCATTGTATCACAAAACAAAGTGAAATCTTACCATAAACAATCTAGTCCTAATATTCTGTATTTCCTGTTTAGTCTCCTCTCTCCTTTCTTCTCTGGCATTATCGCCCTGTTCCCATCTTTTCTTCACATCAGACATTCCGGTAAAGTGGAAGGGTTTTTCTTTTTGCACCTTCTTTGCTCTAACCAGATCGGCATCTTCACCATCTGGCACATCGTCTTCTTCCTCTTCCGATTCAGACTCTTCAATCGGAATTCCATCTAAAGCTTCGTTGGAGACGCCAATATCCATACCATGTTTCTGGAATCTAGAACATACATAGAAATATTAATACATCAATTTGTAAAATATTAGCATACAGACAAAAATCTTACCTAGCTAATTTTGATAAGATACTGGGTGATCTCTTGACATTGAGAGCTCCTTTTTCCATTTCGTTAGTTTCAGTTTGTTGCTGGTAATGCTCGAATACTTGGAACCTTTCTTTTACGTTAAGGCTTTGGAGTTCTTCGAGGCCCAAGTCGGGCTTATCGCTTGCTAAAAATAAATATAATAATTAATTAAACAAATAAACATTATCACAGTCAAAATTAGTAAATCATAGCAAAAACTACAAGCAATTATTGGGATCAATTACAACATTTTTTGAGAAACCAAATGTTTGATAAAGTTGAAAACAATACCAGCCAATTTCAAAGGATGGACCAGTTAATCAAATAAACCTAACTAGAAACGTGAATCACTGGAAAAGCTGAACAAATCTGAGATTCAGAATTTTATTAAAGCTTGTTACTGTTAAATGAAAAACATTGAAACAAGTTAGTTTACTGTTTTTAAGTTAGTTATTGTAGGCCACACAACACATTTTCGTTCTGTTCTACCTCTAACTACATCAGGAGGCAGTTCCTGTGGCTGATTTTCACGAATTATTAATTCAGGACGTCTTGGTTTGGCTGCAAATAATTAAATATCTAAGTCCCCAGAGAAAAGTATATTTTATTGCATTCACTTGGAAACAAGACTTTTTTGGATAAAATATAAACAGTTTATACTTACGAGATGCATCTTCTTCTACAGCTTTTGGTGCGAAGAGAGCTTTAAAATGAGGTTTGCAGTATAAAGAACCGTCATTACTTTCGTAGGTGTCGACCCTAGAAAACAGTGCATAAATAACAAAAGTCAGAAATAAGTAAATTTTATTACTTACGTGAGCTGTTTGCTACATTCCGTACATCTAAAGCAGTTTTTGTGCCATAAAGACCGCTCAGCTTTGATTTGTTCCATTTGGAATACTTGCTTGCCGCACGACTTGCAGTTTGTAGATAATTCAATCTGGCTTCCCTAAACAGAAATGAATTTACTCAATGTTTATTTTTAATATAATCAGAGGGTACCTCAAATAGTTCTCTTGCTATATTATACTCAAAATTTGATTCAGATTACAATAACACTCAAAGAGCCTAGACACAATAATGATTATAAAGTGACGCGAAAAAAAAGATAAGCAAGTCAAATGCATCCAGTAGATAATTACTGATAACAAAAAAGCAGGTAAGATTCCTTTATGGGCTACATGTGTTTTCAATTGATTAAATTGTTATCAGGGCATTTTTCAGACAGTCTGAAAGCCCCCAACACAACATATTGTTTTGTATTTATAATCAATCAATGTCTAGGTCAGTTTTAATCAATGATTCTTTGTTTGAATTGTATGACATGCCGTCCTACTTGAGCTTGAGATGAACTATATCTGTTGACTAGATTTTTTAAAATTTCCAAACATAGAATTGTAATGAGCCGAGATGTATTTCTTTCGAGTAAGATGGATAAACCTAAACACAATTATTTTTTATGCCTTCTTGGATTGGGTACTTACATTACTGAATTTTTCTTGAGCTTTGGTAGAGTCCGATGATCTAACATGAAGTACATTTTTCTTTTGTAGAGCGTCAAATTTGGAGAAACTTGATTTCTAAAAGAAATTATGAAATTATCCATTGTGCATCGATTTTAAGCTTAGAGTTAGTTACATATTTTCTGAAAACGGAAGAATTCTCATGTACTAAAACACTCACCTTGTTTGAACCTTTGAGCGGGTTACAGTTAGTGTTATTTCCAGCGCTGTTAAATTTTTCTTTCTACAATTTTGGCGTACATGCAAAAAAAAACGGAAAACATGCAAAAACTAATATTTGTTAGTTACCATTTCAATGCTTCGGTAAACGACTAGTTAATTAATAAGCAATAACACAAGAAAGAAGCATTTTCCAATTGAAAAAAATACTCTTCTGACTACTCTAAAATCTAATTCTTGTTTAGTAAATCCTTACCAAAGTCCGTACTGATACTCCGGAAAATACATTTTCGATGGTTTTATTGTTAGAATGACTAATTTCCATGTCAGTCAATGATTTAGTACGCTACAAAATAATTCAAAAACAAGCCAAAAAATGATGAGCTGTTAGCATTTTTTTTAGTAAGTAAATCAATGACTTAATTCTACAATTAATATTATGATTATTCTTACCATTCTGTCAATATTCTTTCTATTATTTCTATCCTTTTCTAATTTTGTTAAATCGCCAAACGATCTACACTAAATGAAAAAATAAGGAGAAAAGCGACAATTAGTAAAAACAAACTTCGCGCTAGCCATGCAGCATAAAATGAATTTTTATCGACGGCATTTTTGATTGCAAATAAAATTTTGATTAGGTATGGGTAAATAAAGTTGATTAACTGATAAATGCATTAACAAAGAATCCATGATTAATACACTGATTAGTAATTAGGTAAGTAATACGTGTCTTATTTGGCAAGTCCTTTTAAGGTGAATTTGGTAAGCCGCGCCCAGAACGAACGTAAACTAGTGTTGAGAAATATATGATTTTTCACGCTCACATAAAATTCAGAGACAATCTGTTTGTAATTTTATATCCTACTGAACTATTATAACCATATAATACCTTGGTTAAGATAATCATAAACAGGGTCTTAACTCCCTCGAGGGAGTTAAGGATTTCATAACTCCCGCGCGGGAGTTAAGGATATTATAACTCTCAAGGGAGTTAAGGATTTCCATAACTTCCGCTTTTACCTAGAATAGGTAAAACTTTGACAAAAAATATAAATTTTGGTTTATGACCACGGGAATTATCAGGTGTTAATACCCACGGGCAATTGGTGTCCCTCGGACCAGAGGCCCTCGGGACACAAACGTTGCCCTGGGGTATTACCACCCTCATAAATCCCTTGATACATAAATAACTATTAAAGACTTTGTTTATATTTTTAGTGTTAATTATTATTAAAATTTTCAATGTCCGACTGGTATATTCTGTTCACAATCCGATGTCCACAGGTGCATGTAGATTTATCACCTTTCCCTATCAAATAGCATTGAAAGGTGAGAAACTTTACCGGTACCATTGACGTTGGACGCTTCATTATTTGTACATGTGAGAAATGCCAAAACCACCAAGGAATTATGGGAGCGTCTGAAAAACATGTTTGATGACTCAGGCTTCACACGAAAAATATATTTGTTGCGTACGTTGATATCATTGCGCCTTGAAAACTGTGATTCGATGGAGTCCTACGTAAGTTCAGTTATAGAAACCTCATAAAAATTACGACGTACAGGATTTTCCATTGATGACATATGAATTGGATCTCTCTTGTTGGCGGGATTGCCTGACAGGTTTGCCCCAATGATCATGGCAATTGAACACTCAGGATTGAAGGTAAGTGCAGACGCTGCGAGAAAACTAAATTGTTATACATGCAGGAAGATAGTAGCATAGGCGCAAAAACAGGAGGTGCTTTTGCAGCAAATGGAAAGTTTAGAAACAACAGCAGAAATGGTAGCACTCATTCTAGAACATTTGATAAGAAAAACATCAGGTGTTTCAAATGTAAAAAAATGGGACACTTTATGAATAAATGTCCAACTAATGAAAATAAATTGAGTGAAAATGAAGGAGATGGCCACAGAAAAAGTACCTAGTGCATTTAGCGCAGTTTTTATAAATGGTCACTATAACAATACAGATTCGTACGTGGATTCAGGAGCCAGTTCACATATAACGTCAAGGTTAGAAAATACAGGCTCCGTGGGACTACAGGAAATCATGATTGCAGACAAATCAAAGGTACCAGTAAGAGATGTGGGTGAAGTTAACATCCAAACAATTGTAGATGACAAAAAACAAGACATAGTGATAAAAAATGTACCTACATTATGTTCCAGATATAACAACAAACTTATCTGTCAGTCAGCTCATTAAACATGGTAACAATGTGTTTTTTGATGGCAGTAGTTGTAAAATTTACAACAATCTTGATGAACTCGTGGCAGTAGCCGAGTTAAATGGTAATGTATATAAGCTGGTATTTGACAAAGGTTCACAGAACTCTTTCGTTGCTTTAACAGTGTCAAATGAAGTATGGTATAGATGATTAGCACATATCAACTACAATAACCTGAAAGTAATGAAAAATGGCTCAGTTGAAGGTTTAAAAGTAGCAGGAAAAATAAACAATGTCAATAACATTTTCTGCCAAGTTTGTTGTGAAGGCCAGCAAGCAAGATTGCCTTTCAAGTCTAAAGGCAATAGAGCTTCAGCATGCTTAGAAATTGTTCATGAAGACCTTTGTGGACCCATGGAACACTGATCCATAGGAGTTTCGAAATATTTCTTGTTTGTAGATGACTACAGTAGAATGAGCTTTGTATATTTTTTGAACACAAAAGATGAAGCCCCTAATAACTTTAAGGAATTCAAGAAGTTCGTAGAGAATCAGGTGGATCGAAACATTAAAGTTTTACGGACGGATGATGATGGAGAATTTTGTGGTGTTCAATTTGAGCAGTTTCTGAAAAATTATGGCATCGAGCATCAAAAAACCAACCCCTACACGCCCGAACAGAACGGTATGTGTGAACGCATGAAAAGAACAATTGTTGAAAAAGGTAGATGTATGTTATTTGATTTTGATTTGAACAAAAAATTTTGGACCGAAGCAGTTAGTACCGCAGTCTATTTGAGAAATCACAGTATTGCGAGTGGATTAAATAACAAGACGCCGTACGAGCTATGGACCAATAGAAAACCAGACATAAGTCACCTAAGAATATTTGGCAGTGAAGTAATGATTCAGGTTCCCAAAGAAAAACGTATTAAATAGGACAAAAAGGCAAATAAGATGATTTTAGTTGGTTATGGACAAGGTGTAAAAGGATATAGATTGTATAATCCTAACAAGAATGAAGTCATAATAAGCCGCGATGTGGTAATTAACGAAAGGGTTAGCAAAGAAGTTGATATTGTTATAAATAAAACACAAAATGGCTTAGAAGAAAGTTTTGCAATGGTTTCAGAAGCTGAAGATGCAGCTTCAGTGGGGGAAACTCCAGTTGATGATAATTTTGATATCTTTGATTGTCATGAAGATGAATCAGAATTAGGTGCATCAAGCGACAATGATTTTCCAGCCACAGTGCAAACACCATTGAGAATAAGAAGATCTGGAAGAAAGAGAGTACCAAAAACATTTGACGAGTACCTAACTTACCTATGCTCTGAGATTCCAAATAGTGAATTTGATTTTGAGGATGTACCAGCAACAGTTTTAGAAGCTTTAGCTCGGCCAGATGGTGAAAAATGGCAGCAAGCGATGCTGGATGAGTTAAGTTCTTTCGGAGAAAATAATACTTGGGACTTAGTGAATATTCCGGAAAATGGGACAGTTGTAGATTGTAAATGGGTCTTCAAAGTGAAAAGCGACAGTGAAAATAAGCCAATTTATCGGGCCAGATTGGCTAAAGGCTTTACTCAGAAGGAAGGAATCGACTACACAGAAACTTTCGCACCTGTGGTAAGATTTAGTATCTTAAGGCTTTTAGTAGCGTTGGCAGAGAGAGATATTAAAACGGCTTTTTTAAATGGTTTTTTAGAAGAAACTGTATACATGAGACAACCTGAAGTATAAAAAAGGCAGTTTATGGTCTGAAACAATCTTCTCGTGCATGGAACAAACATATAGATTTCTAAAACAATGTTTAGGAGTAAGAATTAGGCATGATAAAGAAAAGGGTCAGATTACGTTAGATCAGGAAACTTATTTAGAACAAATTTTAAAAAGATTTGGCATGACAGATTGTAAAAGTGTTACCACTCCTATAGAGAGTAATTTTAGTGCTGAGGACAGTAAAAACAGTGCAAGTGATAAAGACATTCCGTATGAGAGACTTATAGAAAGTTTGATGTTCCTTACAGTATTGACCAGGCCAGACTTAACTCATGCTGTTAGTTTTTTGTCTCAGTTTAATAATTGTTATACAGAATATCACTGGAAGTGTGCTAAACGAGTGCTAACATATTTGCAGGATACTAAGACTTATTCCTTGGTTTTCTTAAAAGATGGCGAGCCTTTAGAGGGTTACGTAGATGCTGACTGGGCGTCAAACAAAACTACTAGGAAATCATATACAGGTTTTGTATTTAAACTTTCTGGAGGATCTATCTCTTGGAAAAGCAAGAAACAGAATACAGTAGCTCTTTCCAGCACGGAAGCGGAGTATATGGCACTGAGTGAAGCGACTAAAGAAGCCATATATCTCCGAAATCTGATGGAGGAACTGATCGGAAAATTGGATTGCATCAAATCAAAGTATACAATGATAATCAAAGTGCGCAAAAATTGTCAGTCAATCCAATCTTCCATAAGCGTTCTAAGCACATTGATGTGCGCTATCATTTTCTTAAGGAAGTGGTTGCAAAAAATATTGCTTAAATTGATTATTTGGCAACAGCCGACATGACAGCTAATATTTTAACTAAAGGTTTGCAAAATGTTAAACATAACAGGTTTGTGAAAAAGTTAGGTTTAGCAATAGGGAACAATCATATTTTTTAAATGATTTTTTTTCCTATTGCTTAAGATTTCAAATATAAAATATAAATGTTTTTTCTGGTATTATGTCCTCATTAGAATTTTAAAAAAATATTGAATTTCAAATTATTTTCGTTGGCGCGAAAACGATTGCCTTCAAAATGACGTTACTTGTGACGTCAACTGTTTGATGTAAATACAACGTTAAGGTCTGTTCTCACTTCTCACAAGAGTCTCTGACAGTCAGAGACATGAGTATGAAAATGAAATGGACTGGGCGTACGGCACGAACAGTGATGTAAACATGGTAGGCAACCCTAACTGCACATTAGGGGCAGAAATCCGCGCGCACTTGTTATACGTTAGTGTTAGATACGCGATTTGTTGTAATTTTTTGTTTTCTGATGAGTCGTCATCACTTTTACTAAATAGAAAAGATCTTGGGGGATTATGTAAGGCATCAGAAGATGTAATAAAACTGTGCAGTCTAGCCGAAAAAAATTTTCGTACTCATTACACTCCAAACACTACACTCAAAAAAATTATAATATGGACCATGAGTGACATGAACATTCACAATTATTTTAAGGAGCTTAGTGATCATATATATTGGACCAAGATCCTATTAATAATCATTTACTTCAGCTGATCAACGCAATTTTACGTGTTTATTTTCTCGTTAGAATCCATTATCAGAATAAG